TGTTTGGAGCCATATTATCCCCATAACCTCTGCCCTCGCCGTTCTCATACCTGGAGGAGCCTGAACAAGGCAACACACCTGCTCCAGTGAAGGTGGCCACGAGCTGGTTCAGAGAGCTGGACAGCAGCCCAGGGCAGAGGCTGCCAGGTGCACACTGAGCAGGTCTGGGGCTGGCCACCCCTCCAGCCATCTCTACCTTCCAAGTCCATTCCAGCAAACAGAAAACATCACATCAGTTTTGCTGAAGGCTAAGGTGTCAATGAGAGTAACATGGCTGTACTCGATGCCTCATTCCAAGATAAAAGGATTTGTCTCGGACAAAATGCTTTCCCATCAGAAACGGGACGAAATGTACCCAGCAGTAAGAGGAGAACTGGGATCAGGATCAGGCAGGTATGTCCCTCTTCCCCTACACTGCCTCTGCCTAGCTGCTGTTAATTGTCCAACTTCTGAACGTATAAGAGGTGATCAAAATTTAACGGCATACTTGGGCTAAATTCCCTTTCAATGCAAATAACGCACTCCTGTTTGCAGCAGCATTCAGTGCCCACAAGCCAAAAGTTCGGCTTCCTAGGAGCATCAAATGTTGCAACATTCCAGGTATTCAGAGAGATCGGTCCCTTCTGCAGCAACAAACCCTGTAGTCTGAACTATGCTTTTGCTCTCAGTCACTCAAGCAAACACCCATTGACTCCACCTCAGCACAGGACAGAAGCTGCAGGAAAGAGCCCGAGACTGCGCAGGGACCAACTCCTGCCCACCTGCGACACAATCTGGCAGAGACGGCACTGCTGTGCTGAGCAGCGTTCTGGAAGCTTTCTGCAAGGGCGTCTGCCCCGGGCCAAGCTCCCTGTCTTGGGGTGAGGGACAGAGACAGGCACAGGGGCCGTGGACCTGCTGCTATGGAGATCGAGAGGCATTCACCCAAGGCAGGGAAGCTAAAAGCTAAGGATAAATTAACCCAGCAGCTTATACTAGTGGGATTCCTTTCAATGTAGGGCACACCAGGGCTATGGGTGGTGTGGTCCAGGATCGGGCCCTCACAGTTACATGTGTCCAAAGCTGGGGCCCCAGAAGTTGGGAATTTCAAGCATACCACGACTACTGGAGCAGACGCTTTCAGATCCTGCTGAGCCAGCTTGTGGCTGAATTCAAAATTGAGCAAATTTACAGCTGTAAGCTGGGAGTTTATACAACCCGTAACTTGTTAGGGATGGCTGACCAAGCCAGAACGATCGCTCCCCAGCCCACAGGGCTCTTATTGGTTAGACCTTTGAGCGCCTGGTAGATTGTATTATTTTTCTTTGATGGGGGGGGGGGGGGGGAGGATAGGAAAGGAAACATCTATTTTTGTTTCTTTCCTCACCAAAGACAAACTGAAATTAAATCTCAGGTTCAATCCACCATGGATTGCTCAGCACATCAGCTGGGCGCTGTGGCACACCCAGTGACTACCTCCTTGGACAAGGCTGCCGTATTTTTCTCACTCTGTGCAGTCTTGCAGGGTGAATAGCTCCACAGGACTCAATGTATTCTCACCAGCGTTAGCAAGGCTGCTCTCGCGTTGGCCCCTTTTGCGTGGACACTTCCCTCCCCATTTGTACCAGACCCCACAACTGCTACTCTGCTCCAGCCTGGGCTGCAAGAAAACGTGGTCTGAGTTTGGTGCGGCAAATGCAGTGTGCTGCAAAGACCTTCCTTCCATCTCCTTTGCAAGGATAAACAGCTGGAGCGATATCAGACCCGAAGTCATCTGAACCTGGATTCACAAACAGCAACACAATAAGTCTGCCAAGTAACAGGCAGGCAGCAGGCAGGGAGCGTAAAGCAGGACTCCAGGAGCCCTCTGATGGGAACAAAATCAGCATCTTCGCTGTGCCTGCGAGTGTGAAAGCTATTCAGTCCGAGCAAAGCACAGGGCTTGCCTGCACATAACAGCCTCAACCTAAAATCCTCTATTTTTATTACAGCGCGGTCCCAGCTCTTGTCAGAAAGGCATTTTCAGCAGCAAACTCAAACACAAAGGGCTCAGGGGCTCGCCTGGGACTCACTGTTCTGTGTGACCACAGACAAGACAAGGACAGTCACACCAGCCTCAACGATACACTCGTGAGCATGAGGTGCTCGAGCACGATGGGAGAGACACATACCTACCCCAGTCATTACACAGTTGCAGGCACTCCATTCACTGCAGTTTTTCGAGGACACGGCTAAGGAGCGTTAACAGGTCTCCCCTTTACCCTCCACTCCATCCTGAATACGTAATAGCCCAGAACATCAATAGTTTACATGAGTTAAAGAGCCAGCTGAGGCTTTAGGGACTCACTCAGGCAGGATAAAACACTCTTTAGCATCCAGCCACCATGTAAGAAAATTAAGTAAATGGAGACCTTCAGTGAAGTCTTAAACAGGAGACTGAAAAAGGGGAAATTACCTCTCTCCTTGCTCTGTGAGCAGGGATCACACCGCCTGCTGCCGCTCCCACAGTTTAAAATACTTAAGTCCTCCAAGGTGCAGCTTAATTTTCTTTTTTAAAAAAGAAAAGTGTCAGTCTAATTAGATAAATCCTCCAAGCACGTGGCCCAGAGTTCGTCATGGAAATTAACCTCCTTGAAAGATCACAGTGACTGAAATAAGAAACTGTGTGTTTTGGCATAGTGCAGTGAAATGGGAGATGCAGGCTGCATTTCATACACCTTCCCTTTCATAAACCTGCCGCGTTTCATATCTGCCCTACTGGCCCTCAGCTTGGCACCAAGACTTTATCTCCGAATGCCTGTTTGCAAATCGCTGCTGAGAGGTTACAATAACCCCTGGGAGAGATTTTGCTGGCTCACCAGTGTGAAAGGACACTGCTCCCCTGGTATAAAGCTGGGCCAGCCTGAGGCACTGGTGGAGGGAGGAGCTCGTCACCAGCAGCCCTACAGAGAGGATGTTCTGCAGACACAGCCACCATGGGGAGGCAGCCAGGCTGGGAGCTGCTTGCCAGCCTCGGAGCTGTTTTGCCAGCCTCATCATCCAACACACAGACAAGCGTGATTCTGTGCAGCCCTTGCACTGGCTGGCATGGGAATGGGCTGAGCGGGGCAGGAGGGAGATACCTCGAAGCCACAGGCCACGATCACATAGCTCAGTTTGCATTCATGCCACCTACGTTCATGTCTTGTTATTTAGAAGGCTCTACCCAGCCACACTGGGCAAGGTGTAGGGCTGCAAGTCATACGGCTTAGGAAGAAGAAGCCCTGGCCCCTTTGCTACTGGAAGCAGAAGCAAAACCAGGAAAGACAAGAACTAGCCTACAAGTGAGAATCAACTGCCATGCCTATCTTCAAGTCAAAGCCAGGATCAGAACTAGACTATTTCACACTTTCAGGAAGCGTTGGCCAGTCAACTTTTCTCCCAGGCCATCGGACAAACTTGTGCTAGGGTCACACTCTTAACTCTTTTTCCACAAGGACTGCTGCAGGCCTCTCCTGTGTGACACCACACAACACATTTCAGTATATAACCGATATAAAACCCTTTTCGCAGTTCCAGACAGTCCTTCCCCATCAAGGGGATGTAAGAATTCTCTTTCTAAGCTTTCCAGTTCACACTGTCCTTTCAAAGGATAGTATCCAAAATGAAAAAGCCCCTGAAAACTCTGTAGAGTTTATCTACCTCCTTCTTTCCCAAGTCTCATGGACGCTGGTACACGCGATGCTGTGCTGCCCTCCCAGCGCTGGGACCAGCCTTGCACGCAGAAGGATCAGGACCAGTCTCAGAGACTACCTCTGAGGTGACTTGTGGTGTTGTCATTGAAATGACAAGCCCTATGGCTCAGAATTTGGAAGCAACCTATTTTGTTTCCAAACAGCATCACTGGTGGCAGAACAAAAACAAGATACCTTCTGGAGAGAAAACTACCCCAAAACGCCATGGTGGGCAAGGAGCCAAAGGCCCCAAACAACTGCCAGTTCTGCAAACACAGACGCTTTTCCTACAGCGCTACTGCACGCAAGGCCTCTGCAGCTGGACCGCTCTAGAGCTCGCCCGGGAGTACAGACTCTTGTACCTCGGGGTCCTATTCTGGAGCAGCTCAATCACGCGTGAAAGGTATTAGCTGACACCTCATCAACAGCCAGTGGAAAGAGGGAGCATGAGGGGTTGCAGGCAGACCCCTCGGTACAAGAGCCCATGCCTCCTTGCTGCAACTCATTAGCCGTCTCAGGAAAGAGTTCAAAGGACAGATGATGCACAAAAACCGCCTTCATGTTTTCTACTGCTACCTCCAGCTCAGCGTTGAGGCATGCTGGAAGGACACCACCAGAGAAACCAGGATGAACTCAGCCCTAATACAGTTTCTTAGCGGTTCTCTGCCAAGTACAGGCAAGCCCCGCAGTTCCATTACTAATAACTTAATACCTAATAATATTACCAATGTAACACTTAACCTTGAAGCCAAGCACCTGGACCCAGAAAAATCAGCATTTAGCAAGACTTCTACCTCATTGTATTTGACTTCTCCTGCCAACTGATCAAAACTCAGTACCCATGACTTCTTCTCGCCTGCTCCAAGGTACACGGAGTCATTTAAAGAAAGGTAAAGCTCCTACTTGAGCCAGAAGCTATGGGCGGAAGTCTGTCTTAACACAGGAGAAAAAAAAAAAAAAAAAAAAATCAAGTGCTATCCCAGCCTCCATTCCAGCTTCCTTCTTAGGCTTTGGATGTATTAGGCAAATTCCTAATTACAGCAGTCCCGTCTGCCTGCAACTGGACTTGAGGTAAGAGATCAGCAAGAAGGGCCAGTGGGCATCACTGAAGGCTCAGCATCTTCCATTACACATGAACGCAAGAAGAAGGGCTCTGCCAAGCCTGAAATGTTTTTTTTCCAGAAGGAACACACACACCCTTTAAAACAGGCATGGTGAAATCTGCCTGGAGAGGGAAGGACCCAGCAACCCAGGAGGTTCCTGACTCCTCATCATCAGAGCAAGGCAGCCGGCCCCTGAATTCACTTCATGGGCGTCCTCACTGCTACACCGGCTCAAAGCCTCCGAGGCGACTGCAAGCGCACGGCCAAGGCGGCAGCGCGATGTCTGAATCCACAGCGGATCCAAAGCACTCCGCGTTTTGCTGCCAGCCTGAAGTTTGAGCACAGGAGCCCACCAGAAGCGGTGAACGAGCGGCCCGGCCGCCGCGTGTGCGCTCCCGGCCCCCTGGTGTCCGCTCCGGGAGCCGGGAACCGGGCGGGGGCTGTGGGAAATCCAGGCAGAGGGAACGGGCTGCGGCACCCACCGAGCCGACACGGACAGGAGCCGGGAGGAGTGGGGGCAGGCGGAGGAGAGAGCGAGGGGTCAGCCCGAGGCTCGGCAAGGCACCGCGGGCACGGCCCGGCTGGGGCACCGTGCCGCGGGGAGGGAGCGCTGGGGCACAGGCCGCAGCAGGGAGGGCAGCGGACCTGCTCCTCAAGCCCAAGTCTGGCAGAGAACATCACCATCAGAGGCCAGTCCTGCAGCCCCGAGGTCCGTTGGGATGCAAACTTGGAGGCAACTTTCCCCGGCACGGGCCTGCAGGACAAACCGAAGCACCTCGGAGCCACGAGGCCCACCAGCCCGTGCCCGCTCCCTGAAAAACCACCGCCATCCGCATCCCCTCGCTGCCCCCGCAGGAGCCCCCTCCTCCTCGCTCTCTTCCTCTGTGTCCTCGAGACTCCTCTCACCTTGAGGAGTGTTAGGATTACCCAGCATTTACACTCAATGCTCCTCTTTATTCCTTAAGACTTATTAAGAATGATAATGAGCTCCAAAGCAGTGACACGTCTCTCTCTCTCCCCCTCTGTCGCGCGCTCTCTCTCTCTCTCTCTACGTGCCTTTTCCGTCAAAGGCACACAGGACAAATCCGACCAAAAAAAAAAAAACCCTGACAATATGGATCAAGGACACACGAGGATTTATATTCTACAAATCCAGCCTTTTTTGTTTTTATTATTTCTACTCAAATTCCACCCTTTCCTCTTCTTACTCATATTCTCCCCCCTCTACCCCAACCCTCTTGGACTTTGAATGAGAAAGAAGAAGAAGAGGAGAAGAAAGCTGCTTGCCTGGAAAACCTCGTTAATGTAGAGCTCTTAAACGGTTGATTAATTTTAGCAAAATTTACGATGCGCTCTTGCTTTTCTTTGAAGCCGCAGTCTTATATACCGAAAGCAAGTTAACTTTAAGATCCCTCTCGCAAGCCCACTTCCCCTTAATTCTTGGATGCCCTATTTAGGGACACAAACACACAGGGGAGGAATACGGGAGCAGAGCATGGAAGCAGTCGCCCTGCCGGGTGCTCAAAGTGGTTCATTTCAAGTCCCTTTAGCACAGCATAACAATCACAATCTGAAAACTCCCAACTTCTAGCTATTTAACTTCCCACAAAGATTAAAAAAAAATCACCAGTCAGTCCTTCACAACAAAAGGAAACAGGGAAACATAAACACCAATTCCAAGAGAAGTCTCTCCAAGTTACATCTGCTCCCGCCACAGAAACACCAGGCTCTCGGCTGTGTTAGAAACATCAGGTTCTCCCAAAGCCACCTTTAAACCAGCCATGTTTCGCCACTGGGAAAATCCGAACCCAAGGAACCCTAATATACAGATTCATACATATCCTGAAATATACTTCAATATTTCAGCCGTCTCCCCAGCTTCCTCCTACCCAGTATCCGCTCGCATTCTTTGTCTCCCTCTGCTAGACTCTTTTTCTGATATAGACATCAGGAGGTTAAGGGCTCAATTATCAACTCCGTTGAAGCCTCAGCTTCACGTTTCTTAGGGGCTTCTCTGTTGCTCTTTGGGAACTACACTGCAAAATCTCTTTCCTTCTCGACTTTTCTTTTTCCCAACTTGCACCGTCTATTTCCGACACACCCCTACGTGCGAACCCACAAATCTATTTGGGTTGAACGGAGAGAAACCGTGAATTGCTTTGGGAGACAGATTAATAAAAATAACCCTAAGAGTGCCTAGCCAGACTGAACCTGAAGCATTTGCGATCTCGAAACCTAAAGTAACATCCACATGGAATTTACAAAATATGATTCGAGTGGTTCTAATTAGCCCCAGTCTGTGGAAAAATTGGAAGGAAGCGGCTCTTTGATTAATGTTACAAACCAGAAAGGAAACAGATTTTAAAAGTTAAAGTAGCAGCATTGTGGAATACAGAATCATTACCAGCATACATTTATGATACCTGCTTCAATCAGATGGCTTGGGGTTTTGTTTTTAGGGTTTTTTCCTTTTTACTTTAAGAAAAAAAAGGAAGACAGGATGCAAGTAAAAGCTTTTGTTTATGGAAGTGTGCGGCGCTTTTATCTCCCAAGGAATTTATATAGCTGGACTGTGTATAAATCCTTCTGAAAATGAAATTAGCAAAAACAAAACAGGG